GTAGCGTTTTGATTTGCAAGCGTTCCTGTTCTTGGTCACTTCTTTGCCTGGTTCCAGGCGCGCCCTCGGGTGATTCCCTGAGAGGTCGGAAGTTGCGGGGAAGGTGGGGTGGGGGGTGGAGGTAGGCTGGGGTCTCCGCCTAGGGAGGGAGACCGTGAATTCCCACGCGGGAAAGAAGGAAAACCACATCTTCATCTCTGCGTGTGTCTCTCTCTTGGTCCTTCTACTCCCCCAATCTGCGCTTGCGCGCACACTCACTCACTCAGCGATCTTGCACTTTTTAAAACGTGGCTCCTAGCGAGCCTTCAGCCAGTCTCCGTTCCAGGCGCTGGGACTGAGGTTGAGTGTTTGCAGAAGTTGCTGGCCTGCTGCACTTCTCCAGTTAGAGGGAAAGAGAAAAAAGAAGCTATTCCGAAACCTAAGACCATTCTTTGAGCTCCCTTCCACCGGTCTCCTTTTTATTTTCGGTTACTGAACTTTACAGGGGTTCTGCCACTCCACAGTTCCGTGTGGTTTCCACTCACTTTCCAATCCCTGCGCCTGGAGGGCCGCCTCTAGGCTGTGGGGCGGGCTAAGGTGTCCATTCGGCCCTCAACAGGAGTCCTCATCTTTTTTCCGCCTAGGCCGTTTCCCCCCTCCCACCAGGGATGCTCATTTTCTCTCCCCGTTGAGTTATCTGTCTCAAGGTAATATGAAGGATGAATGATACTTGCTTTCATTCTTACCCGTTTTGGCTTTTTTTTAAGAGGCCTCATTTTTTTTCTTTCTAAATTATTATTCACGGCAGGGTGGGTGGGTTATCATACAAAAAGAAGAAAATAAATTGATCAATTATCAAAGGGAATATAAAAATAAAGTATGAAAATACATTGATAAATTATCAAGAGGGTGGGGAAGGTGGGTAAAAAAGAGGAGCTGATACCATGGGCTCAAGTAGAAAGAGGGCAACATATGTACAAATGTGCTTGATACAATTGATGTATGGATTGTTATAAGAGCCCTCAATAAAATGATTTGTTAAAATAATAAAAAAAGGTTTAAATAAAAAGATATGCCCTTGAAGATTAAGGGTCCCTGACCCACGTCTTATTATTTTCAACAGTCACACATACACCAAATGAGACAATGAAAAGGCCAGAGGAACTGATGCAGTCCAATTACGGTGACAAACGGCATTTGTCTTGGCAACGGAATAGGCAGAATGCTCCTGAAAGGCAAGGGCGGCAAAGACGTCATCTGCAGTGTTATTCTCGAGACTGCAGCTCAAGACGGGGATTAGGGGCCAATGCCAGCAAAGGACAGCCTGATGGTTGGGAGAGCGAGAGAGCAAGAGGAAGACCGCCAAGGACACAGACTGACACAGCGGGCTGCAGTAAGGGGCCCAAAGGTAGCATCACTGGTGAGGCTGGCAAGGGGCTACACACGGCTTTGTTCTGTTGTAGAGTTGCTATGAATTGATGGCTCCCAACAACAAAAAGCAAAACTGAAGTGGTTTTTTGGAAAATCTTCTAATTTGAAAATCTTGCTTTCTCACTTTATTTTATTGCAAGGTGTGAGGGTTAGGTACAAATTTAAACGACAATGTGATAATCTTTAGTTATGTACTAAATATTATTAAAACCAAACTGCTCACTCAAAGTAATCATGGAGCGACTCAAAATATAGAACAATACTGAAAAACATCTTACTGGCCAATGATTGTGTTTTATTCTCTGAATATATCCAACTCAAACGTCATTTTCAGTAAGGTAAACTGTAATGTGAGTAGACAGCAATATACAAAGAATGACTTCATCAGACAAGTTTCCATTTAGTCAGGTGTAGCTGTCTTGATTGGTATAGACACATTTACATAACGGGCTGAGCTTGAGCCTTCTTTGCAAGCAGCTTTAGGTCTTGAATGCACTTGGCAATTGTTTCCTTTTCCTGAAACCAAGAAAAGAGAAATCTGGTTAGACCTTACCAAAGCATGAAAGGGCACTAACACCACAATGCAAACGCACATCTCCTAAGATGAGAATCTTAAGATCAATTCTTGATTTAATATGATAAATGACAAGGTTCTGAAATAAAATCTTTTACTACAGGAAATATGCAATCTAACTGAAACAATTCAAGGGACTAGTTAGAATGGTCTGGTGGATAAAAACTAAAGTATGTATAGTTGCAGGGCAGATATTACTGCTACCATTTGTCACAGATGCTGGCTTGCACAGCTAATATCTTCTTGAAAAAACAAAAACCCAACCCATTCGTAAAATAGAAATATTAGAAAGAATGGAAGTGTTATTCACTTCTCTGTACTCTTTGTATTCCAAGTTTCTGAAATAAGCACATATTAGTATGTACGTTTATGTAAAAACTGTTAGAAAAACAACCTATCTTTTACAGACAAGTTTTTCTAGTGCCATATAATTAAGTGGAAAATGATCAGATATGCCCAAGTAGCCTATCTATGAGGAAAAGAAGAACTTAAGTCACATAAACAAGTAAGTAACAAATAGCAATCGGATTAAATGGTTTGCAAGAGGACACGGACTGAAAATGGTGGAGTCAGGAACAGAAAGAACTCGGCAGCAGCCTTGTCTGGTTCCCATGTTCTACGAGCACACATTGGCTAATGCTACCCTAACACCAGCATCTGAACACAGGTCTCTCTCAACCAATGTTCTCAATGATCTTCCCATTGTTTCGGGCCTGTCCGCTGAGGGGCCCTTTGTCACCAACTTTGAGGAAAGAGGGGTGCCGCCACGTGCCTGCTGCGCAGAGATGCTCTGCACCACGCTCTTCTCCACCCAGTTGATCATGTGCTCTTGCTCCTTTCGGCGCGTCACATTTTGCACAGAGATATGGTAGTCCAGGCGATTCTTCACCTCCCGGTACACTCTGTGCAGCCGTTCCCGGTACGTAACCTCCAAGGCCATGGCGATATTATTCTGGGGTTAAAGGAAAGATGATGCACCGGATTCACTCGAGTATAAGCCGACCCAAATTTATCAACCCAGGCACCTAATTTTACCACAAAATCTGCATTTAAAATGTGCTAGAAAACTTGGCCTATGCCTGAGTATATATGGGGTATATATTGTTTGCACATATAAAGCATCACGTCAACTCTTTAAGATTCTGCTAGTTAGGACGACGTTCACCCTTCTTTTGTATTTAATGCAAAAGTATTTTATTTACCACGAATGACCACACATTGATGTGAGAGAATCCTTAACAGCTTGACTATGTAAATGTATATGTATGCATGTGTAAATATGCACATATATATGTATGAAGGCAGGTATATCACTAAGAGAGGGGAGGCCAGTGTTTGTTACTATGACCCTGGCTCAAAGAGTGAGCCATCTGTATCCTTATTGTTTGCTAATCCTGACTTGTGGTAACCTATTAACTTCCCTAATAAGACCCCTTAATTGTGAACATCATCTGTGAGCTGTGTGGACACCATAGTGACTTATCAAACAGCATAAATGCAACGTGGTGTGGGAGGAAAGCTTGGTGTCAGAATAAGCAAAGGACGGACCATGAAGGTTTGTCTGACCCCTGCTTCACTGCAATGGGAAGCCAGAGGTCAGAGATGGCCCTCCACTGTCACTGATTGTGACGTGAATGTCGGACTGTGAATGAGGAGGCCTGAAGACGAATTGATGCATTTGAATCATGGTGCTGGTGATTAACACTGCATGTACCATGGGCTGCCAAAAGAATAAACCTATCTGTCTTGCAAGAAGTAAAGCCAGAATGCTCCTTAGAGGCAAGGCAAGCAAGACTTTCTCTCTCATACTTTGGGCATGTCATCAGGAGATCAGTCTCTGGAAAAAGGATATGCTTGGAAAATGAAAGAGGAAGACACTTGACTAGCGGACACAGTGGCTTCAACAGCGGACTCAGACAAAGAACATTTCTGAGCGCGGTGCTCCGTCCCGTTGTGCACGGGGCTGCTCTGAGTCAGAACCAACTCTGCAGACAGCACTTAGCAGCAAGGAGAACACTGGTCCGCAGGCCGTAGAAGGCCCGTGGAAGAGCCGACACCAGCTAACATCACACGCCTCACCTGAGAAGTGGTCCAGCACAGGAGTGAGTTTAATTAAACATGTGATCAAACAGCCAAAGGTTTTAATAAAGGCTCCCCACCCCTGGTCTACAGCTAACACTATATTCTATACAGTGTCAAGACTTAAAAATATGAATGCAGAAATATTCACCTAATAAGACACAAAACTATTCCTTTGGAAACCTAGCAGGAGATCTTACTGCCATTCTGTTCTGTAACATTACAGCTTGACTCTAGTCTAGGTTTTCATAACTTTGCTAATAAGCACACCACATAAACCTCTCAGAGTTGTAAATCAAAATCCATTTATTAGACCATTTAGGAAAAAAGTGGATGACCCAGAGATTAGAACCTTAAGACATCCAGATTATTTCCATATTAAAAACCCATCCAAAAAACCCAAAACAACCTATGATAACGTTTTAGCCTATTCAGTAGTTAATTTCTGTTGCTGATGACTAGATCAGTTGTCATTTGTGATCCCCAACGTTTTTCAGTTCTGGAAATTTTCATTTAATCTGGTAATAGAACTTAAATACCAAGCACGAAGCTTACTAACCACTAAGGCTTACTGTGGGAGCCCTTAAATCTACCGAGTTTTCACATAAATTCAGCCTCCATTTCGATGCCTTATTTTAAAGAGATTCCACTCTATCAACGTTTCAATATTTAACAAAGCTCTAAATCGGCTGAATCCCATTTTTTAAAATGGCAAATAGATATATACATCATTTTATCTATCTTTTGCACTCATGTATAAACACTTGCTGAGAAAAATAATAACACTTGTTGAGTATCATTTCTAAACACTGTATCAGGGGTTCTCAACCTTCCTAATGCTGACCCTTTAATACAGTTCCTCATGTTGTGGTGACCCCCAACCATAAAATTCTTTTCATTGCTACTTAACTGTAATTTTGCTGTTATAAATATAAATAGTATGTAAATATCTGATATGCAGGATATATTTTCATTGTTACGAACTGAACACAATTAAACATAATTAAAGCATAGCGATTAATCACCAAACAATATGTAATTATATATCGTGAAATATTTGTGTTTTTCGATGGTCTTAAGCGACCCGTGAAAGGGTCGTTCCACCCCCAAAAGGGGTCTCGACCCACAAGTTGAGAACCGCTGCTCTACAGCTTGTCAATTAAATCTTTTATATCATCACGGTAAGATGGTCATTATCATTTTATGTACTTAACAGTAAAGGACTTAAAACTAAACCTACCGCCATCGAGTTGATGTGGACTCACAGTAACTCCATAAGCTGGCATAGAACTGCCCCTCAAGAGTTTCCTAGACTGTAATTCTTTAATGGAGTAGAAAGCCCTGTCTTTCTCTCAAGGAGTGGTTGGTGGTGTCAAACTGCTGACTTTGCGGTTAGCAGTCCAACCCTTAACCACGACAACTCCAGAGATCCCTGAAGCAGAGAAATTAAGGAACTGACCCAAAGTTACGAGGTAAAAAGCTGTGACGCTGACTCTGAATGCAGGCCCTGAAGCTTCAGCGTTTATGCTCTTGAAGATCCAAAGGGCATATGCAGCATTTTAAATTGTGACACACATTGCCAAGTTCCAAAGAGAAGTTGTATAATTTAATCTCACCAGCAACATGAACGCCTGTTACCCACAACTCTTGCTAATCTGATTGGGGGAGGTGAGGTTGATCAATTTTGTCAGATTACCTATGGAAATTTACATATGTAAAATAAAACTGTATTTACTTCTTTTCTCCATCAACAGTCCACATCATTTGCCTATGTTTCTAATGGGATCCTTTATGTCAAATGGAATGCATGGATTCTTCCCAATAGGTCAGTCATCTGTTAACTCTTAAAGCATGTAGGAATGCTTAACTTACACGAGATCAATTTAACACTTTTTCATATTAAGTATTTTGGATTTCGTTTCTTTGTAAGAAAGGATTTCCCAAACTCCAAGAATATAAAAAAGGTTTCAATTATTTTTCACTTTGTTTTCCATTTTTACTTATAGATGATCTTTAATTTAGCTAAAACCTACTTTAATATTGAGAGGTAGAAAATCAGCTTTATATCCACAGCTCTAAAACCCCAGTCAGCAAGTTGATTCTGACTCATAGTGACCCTAGAGGTCTGGGTTAAGCTGCCCCTGTTGGTTTCCGAAATCTTTACAAAAGAAGAAAGCCTCATTTTCTCGTGCAGAGTGGATTAGTTGTTTTGACCTGCTGACCTTGTGGTTAGCAGCCCAAGGTGTAAACTCTGCCACAAGGGTGGCCATTGGTCTTCACACTATATATTATTTATACATTATATATATATATATATATAATATATCAAGTACTAAATATATGACATGAGTAAATATATTATTGTACATATTTATGTTATACATGAGATAATTGTACCTTTCCACAACTAAGATGAAAATTTTATCAATCTAAATTAAATTCTCTGGTAGGGCGAACAGTTAGTACATTCAGCAGCTGACTCAGAGGTTGGAGATGGCACAATGGTTACAAGTTGGGCTGTGAAACCAAGATCCGAAGTTTGAAACCACCAGTTGCTCTGTGGGAGAAAAGATGGGGCTTTCTACTCTCATGAAAATTCACAGTCTCAGAAACTCCTATAGGGTCGCTGAGTGGCCACTGACTTGGTGGCAGTGAGATTTGTGTTTGGTTCGGTTTGGGTTGGAGGCACTGTAGACGACAGACCCAGAAAATCTGGAAAATCAGCCACTGAAACCCCACAGAGCAGTTGCACATGGAGCTGTCACCATGAGTCAAAACTGACTCGACGGGACTACTTTTCAAAAGAAAACATATTCAGGTTCATCTCTGGATCCTTTGATTTACTCCGTCAACCTGACTTCTATGTGCTACTTTAAATTTCTTACAAGTTGTTCAAGTTCCCCGACTGCCCCTCCAATTTCTCCCACAAACATGATCAATTTAGAGGTCAAAGTAGAGCCAAATGATATCTTTAGAGCATCAAGTCCTTCAACTTAAGAACAAGGTACTTAGAACCGTACCCCATGAACATTTTTATTTTCAAAATACACTTTTATACACCTAGGCCGCTTTTCTTAAATGGTACATCTTCCTTCAGCATATTGTTTGACGGCTTGCGGATTGTCTATAGCTTGTTGGTTATTGCCTATTAATTTTGTACCTAGACTCATTAGTAAATTTGCTTAAGAATCCTGATTTTCTCACACCTTCTAAACAATCATGTAATCTGTAAATAAAGATAACCTCACCTTTTCTTTTTCAAGTATTTAATCTTTTTTCTCCTCCCTCTAATTGCATTAGCTATCACTCCCAGAGTAATCTTACTAACAGTGACAAGCAGTCAGATTAACGTCTGCCCACTGAGTCCGATGGCTCGAGATGAAACAATGCTCTCCCAGATGAGGCTTTTGTTTGCTCTAACCCCTAGGGTCTTGACTGCCTCTGCCTCATAAATGACTGTTTCTAACACTGAGAAAAAAGCTAAGCATTAAGGACATCCAAACTTTACATCATTCTCTCTCACACACACCCCCCCAGTAAATTCTTACTACCACGTAAGCCAATCTACTTGAATTTGTACCCATAAGCTTTGCCTTTAATGATTTGCTGAGCCATTCATGCTCTTAGGGTCCACCCCTCCACTCGCGCACTAGATTCCAGGCCCTATGGTGTAAGGGCATCCCACTAGCAATTTTTCTTCTGTCTTTGTTACATTTCTCCACCTGCCTCTCTACTAGTTTCTATTAGATGTTAACATTCTGTATTTGCCGTCTTAAAAAAAAAATCTTGATTCATACTCTCCCCTTGCTAGATTTTGTAAATTCCTTGACAAAAGTGGTCTGTACTGATTCCAATTTCTTCCCCCACATTTCCAACCCACTCTAATTACACCACAAAAGCGGCTTTTACCCAGGTCACGAAGAACTTCTATGATGCCAAATTCTACATGAAATTCTTAAGCCCTTCATTACTTAACCGTTAGTAGAGCACCCATAAAATGACAAAGTCCGGGCACTGCCATGATTTTTACATGCCACCTTGCACTCAGGATTCCCAAATTACTACCGCCAAGTCAAAACACCCCCCACCCTCCCCTCCCTTTCCTGTGCCACCAATCAACTCGAGTTATTATCTAAAGGCCTACTGACAGCTCCACTTGGCTAGCACAAAGCCACCCCAAACTGACGCATACACAACTGAATGGTAATCTCAACAAGATGATCCTTCAAAACATCGTCTCCCTCCTCTGCTTAAAGACTCTAGTGACTTTCCCCCTTAGGTAATGCAAGTCAAGGTTCTTAACAAAGCAAGATAACCTTCTATCATCTGCCTCCTGGGCCCCTCTCTTCCATCTTTTCTGACCCACATGCACCACTTGAGCTATATAGGCCTCCCTACTTAAAAGTCCTTACAACTGCTCTGCTCGGAACACTACTTCCCCAGAAATCCGCAATTTATTTGGTCACTTCTCTGCTCAAATAATTTAACTGCCCTATAAGAAATTTAACTCATTCTCCTGTACTTTTTCCTTTAACACCACTATTCTCGTTTCATGTAACAGTTATCATCATCTACACCTGTTCAGTTACTTATTTTCTGTCACTTTCAGAATTGACATGAAGGCAGTGGGACTGTTTTCTAGAAAGTAGGCTCAAAGGGTAGGGACTTTGTTTTGTTTCTGCTAGATTCGTAGGACCCTGTATTGATCAGATTCTGACACACAAGAGGCTCCGTAAGTATTTGTTAAATAAGTATTTCCTACAATGAATAAAAACTTAATGAGTATTATGTTTATAAAAAACTACATCTTCAAATCTAGTTTTAAAAAAAAGGCCAGTGTGTGAGTGAATGTGAACGCCCACGCATATCAGGTACGAGAAGCATCATTTAAGTTGTGGACTGTATACATACATACTAAAAGAAAGCTTTAAACAGTCTGAACAATTGCATTCATGCACCCAAGAGTCTTTATGGATCCTACTAAAAGACACACACCCTTGGACAGATCCCATCAGAGGTTCTATGTCCAAGCTATTCTATCCAAGTCGATTTTGCTCTAAGTGGTACATGGACCACAGTGAGAAATACGGACCCAGACTCTCAGTATTTCAGATACCTCTCTTCCTAGTATCTCACGTCACAGGGGCTTCTTAGGTCCAATATAAGAGCACTGCAGCAGGCATCCAACACCAGACACAAAAGAGATAAATGACAATATAACTGGGTAAGTTCTTACGTTTGTTTTGAATCCAGTTGTATTTTGATCAGGGTGAAAAGCTCTTACCTGAAATTGTCTGCGTTGTGAAGTGGGAGGTTTGGTGTTTATCAAGCTCTATTTTACTGACGGCGTATCTTATTACATGCCATTTAAGTCAATTGTAATGCATTATTCTCCATTTGTGTGGTGCTAAAAGATTTTCTCTAAATTGTTTCTAATTTTAGAATATGAATTCTAATCATTTCTCCATTAAGCAATTCTTAAATACTCATAAACACATAGCCAGTGTCCACCCAAATTGTACCTTTTAAAAATAAAGTTCAGTTTATTCAACCATTCCATATAAGAAAGTCTACATTTCTCTGTTTCTAAGGAAAACAAGGAAGTAACTTCATTCTCTTCAGAAACGTATGAAACCTACCCTCTGAACATCAAAAAGGTAGTGGCGTTTCTGAACCAGGGCCTGCTGGGCCTTCTCCATATCAATCGCATCCTGGATGCTTTTGATGGAGGCCTGCTTTGCCTCTTCCAGCTTGGCAAGTTTGTCCTGAAATTAAATTTATAACAAAGATCAGTAAAGGCCGAGTAATAAAAACATGTTTCTTTTATGTTTCGAAGTTTTATCCCTCATTAGAAATAACACCCATTAAGAAATGCATAAATCCTTAGAAAGACAAATCTACTCCTGCCACCCCTTAAGGCCAACGAAGCCAGGCCTAAAAGGAACGAATGACTTGGGTGAAGAATGAGAAATCACGATCCTTTAAGAATGATTGCCTCCCAGCTTCCTATGCCTTCAATTTATGGCTTAGCCCACACTAACAATGTAACGCCTTGCTGAACGACATTATGGAAAAGCTGGAGAAAGTCTGAGAGATTAGAATCCTTTATAGTCTAAAACAGAACTTGGAAAAAAAAGCCTTTCCGGCTCTTACCTCATTGAGTTTATCAGCAAATTCCGCAACAGAGGGACCATATTTTTTAATGCCATAGATAAGCAACCCTATTGTTGCTATGCTCGAGAACGTTTCTGCGGTGACCACATATATTTCTTTGGATAGAAAATATAAAATAAGCCCAGTTCCGAGCATGTAAGGTCCTGGGTAAAAAAAACAAACAAACGTTTTTTCATGAATGAATACTCTATGTCTAAAAAGTAGAAAATATGGCTCTATTTGATTAAATTGTTATACAACAATTTAAAATAACCAGATTTAACAATAACTCACAAAATTAAAGAGGATGGTAGAGCTGAAAGAACAAGGCTCCAGACTCAGGGAAAATTAAACTTAACAGAAATCGAATAGTTTAAATAACCTCTGAGCTCAGTTTCTCCATCTGCAAAATGGGAACTGTAGCTTCTTTCTGGGGTTGCTGAGACCAAGAAATAATCTAAGTAAAGATCAATAAACAGGAGCCACCCTACAAAGATGTAAGGGCTACTATGTCCAGGACATTCATACTATTTATTCAATGGGATCAATGTACAGAATAAAATCCATCTGTTCTGATTTCTGATAGCAAACTGACACTGGAAATGAGCAAAACAAAAATGAAACAACAGTAACATGCACATAAAAGGGGCTCAAACTATAAGGATTCTCAAGTCTTAAAGCACCCAATGCTTCCAATATGGCTACCTTTTAAATTCAGCTGCACCTTGAGTTCTGAAAGGTTACAATCAGAACATACATTTCTTTAGGATTTTCCCGTGCCTCACAGCATGTTACGCAGGGACAGAAGTGGTCTTTACGGCAGCATTTTACGTGGTTTCTGATCAATAATAGTACCAAGGATGTCAGTATATATCAGCAGAATAAAGCCATTACAATAACATATATTTTACCCAGAGTTTTCCATATTGCATTTCAATGGTTCTTTTCTTTTTAAAATCTGCCTTTAATATACATAAAAATTAATAGACTATTGGGTTTACAATAGGTAGGTTCCCAAAATACATAAGGAAGCTCTAGCATATGTAACATTTCCACTAACGTTTCCTGCCATTTCTGATAGTGAAATGCCACTCAGGCTAGGCTAGAGTTCAAAACAAAACAAAGCAACACAACACACTGGTTTTCAAAGGCAATCTATGTAGTAGAAAGAACTTTAAACTTAGCCAGAGGGCCTGGATTCAAGTTCAGCTTAGTTTAAAAAAAAAAAAAAAGATGTTGACAAATTATTTTAAGTTCTGGTAATATAAATGTCTTCTCAGGGACATTATAGGATTAAGTAAGTTAAAGCATATAGCACTGTAAAACTTGGTATTAGAAGAGTTTATGCCCATTAAGAGGGAAAACCAGTAATGATTATACATTTTTGTTCATGTATGTGTGTACAAAAAGTTTCTACTGCATCCCATTTTATCCATTCCTTTTCCCACTACCTGTTAAGAGTATTATAGTTACTCATTCCTTTAGTTTCTGCATCTTACATGTTTTATGATGGCAGGGATTTAATTTACCTCACTACTATATTTCCACTGTCTATAACAGTGCCTGACATATAGTAGATAATGAATTTCAATCAATTTAATCCATTCAAACAGATGAAGACAACACTATAAAATTACATTAAAATTCCAAATGACAGAGTAATCACATCAAGTCACTGAATCACCTCCACAATTTCCCTGGAAAAACTGCTAATTTGTTTTTTCGTGGTATATGTGGAAGTTAAAGGGTCACTAAAATGTTGGGTTAACACAAACCGCACCACCCAAAGATATCCTGAGTGCTCACCTGTGACCCCAGTTTTAGGATAAAGGAACTGGAAGAATTCCTCAGGGATCAGCCCGAAGCGAACTTTTCCTCCATATTCAGGAAGAGGTGGTACAGGGGCAAGACTTGGCTGCCCTGTGTGAAAGATCCTTGCGGTTTGCAGTGCCCTGCGGGTAGAATTAAACAAATGTAAAGCCTATTCTTTGAAGAAAACATAAGGTTTAAGCAATCAGCAGAAACAACAAATGGGGGTGAAGACTGAGGAGTTTATCAGGAATTGTTATAAAGCGGACAGGAACCAATAATGACTGATAATTAGCTGTGTGACAAGGACAAATGACTCAATTGTAGACAGTGAGAGCTTCATGAAACCTATATTGCACTGGAATCCCTGAGGGGACATCGTTAGGTCTTTGTACAGTGATTAACAAAATGTACAAAAATATATCGACCTTACTGACAATTGTGTTCAAATCCTAGATTCACTACTTGACTTTGAACAACTAATTTAAGTTTGGGGAACTAGGTAGGAGACAACAGATAAAACGAGACTAGGATCTTTGTCCCTGATCGGGCTGCTCAAGATAATGCTTGACATACAAGGGAGCTTCCAAAACTTTGTGGAAAAACGGAGTTGAGCGATAATGGAATTCTTCCGTGCACTCTTTGAAGCCCTCTCATACAGGTATGTCCTCTGTGCTGTGAGCTCCTTGATTGAACGTTTCCCTTTTTGTATGTTTCCTCAATTAGAGATCTAACTACTATAAGAAAAAGACCTTTTCAAGACTGGTTAGTTCTAGTTATGGCCTCGTTATAAATCGAGCTGCTATGCAGGCCCTTGAAACTTCGACTCACTGTTTCTAAATTTTCTTTTCCATATGAGAAGCTCAAGACATCTGTGTTAAATAAACACCTCAGTTCCGAAATTCCAATTTTCCTTCACAAGGAGCTCCCAGGCTTTGTTTCAAAAAATGGGCATGCAGAACCGAATATAATACTTTAATCAGAAGTCTATTAAGTTTCTGGTCACACAAAATTTCCTTTTTTCCGTATTTGCTACCAAGATTTAAGGAGCCCTGGTGGAATAATGGGCTACCTACTGGGCTGCTAAGCTCAAGCGCAGCCTCTCAGTGGGAGAAAGATGAGGCTGTCTGCGTCTGTAAAGTAGGAAAGTCTTGGAAACCCAAAGGGGAAGTTCTACTCTGTCCTACAGGGTCGCTGGGAGTAGGAATTAACTTGAAGGCAATGGTTTGGTTTGCTTTACCACGCAAGTCTCCTTGGCAGTTTCCAGAGGAACAGCAAGGTGGTCAGTAGGGTCAGAGAATGATTTCAAAAGAGAATAGAGATCCCATCAAAGCGCTAAGATGGGTCAATTCATACTGGATCTTCTGGTTACGCTAAATAGTTTGGATTCTATTTCCAATGGAATGGAGTACTCTGGAGAGTTGTAGGTGGGAAAGTGACGTAATCCTCCTGGCTATTCCCTGGCCGACTCAGATGGGCACAGGCCTTGATCAATTGCTTGGACCCAACCAGAAGCCCCTTGGAAGACAGGACTGGAAAGCTGTACTGTCTACTCTTTATACATGGGGCCACCATGAGTTAGATCAACTCGAAAGGAATGGTTTACTTATGTATTTATTGTAATTGTGAGAATTAGCTTTACTGGGCAAGACCAAGGTTAAAAGGAGTCTAGTTAAGAGTGGACTGAATTATGTCGAGGTGAGAGATCACAGTGCCTTTTACTTGAGCAGAAGCGGTTCGAATCATGACATTAATATGGAAAAAGAGCTTTGGTAATAGACTAGAGAGATACTGAGTGTGAAGGACACAGAAGTCTAGGCTGCTTCTTTGTATTTTGTATATAGAATTAATTTATTATACCACATTACAGCGTTTGTTTCCATGTCTGTTCGAAGTAGCCAACTACCAAACTCAGTGCCATCGAGTCAATGAAGAATCGTAGCAATCCTATAGGACAGGGCAGAACTGCCCCTGCAAGTTTCCAAGACTATGAATCTTTAGGGGAGTAGAAATCCCCATCTTTCTCCCACGGAGCAGCTGGTGGTTTTGAACTGCTGACCTTGTGAATCAGCCCAACTGTAACCACTATGCTACCCGGGCTCCTTTAGTCAACTATCGCTTCTTTTTATTCCATACAAAAGAGCTGAGGGAAGATCTGAGTCATTTTTTCAAGCGTCCTGGTGGTGGTTCTAGGGCTTAGTTACTGAATCACAAGGAAAAGCCCATAGCAGAGAGCGTTGTTTTAGGAATAATACTCACCAGTAACAGTGGACAGTTACTAAGTATATACTGAGTCCCAGGCACGGTTCTTAAGAGTTTCCGGGGAATGAAGTCTCTGAACACCCTTAACTGTACCACAATCTCCAATTTGCAGGCAGGACACTTACAGCCACATAGCTATTACCATTGGAAGCTAGGAGTTGTCAGTCCCCACTCATGCCATTACTTTATAGTCCCGCCTTCTTCAAGTGACTGCATCGGAGATACCTATTCGTACTTATTTTTGCACCCTTTGTGGATGAGAAGCTCAATGCTCAATATTGGCTGGATCAATGAGTGGTGGCTCTATACCTTATGATCTGGCAGTAAAATATAAGTGTGGGCGACAGAAGAAAACCAACATCTTTCATTGTTTATTAAGTAAGACTTGCTTGTGGACATGTAATCTGGTAAATTCGATACATATGGGCGATCGCAGCTCCTTTTGCTGAAGGTCACTGGGAGAGGGGCGAAGCTTAAGACCCCCAAATCAGGGTTTCTTGTCTAGCTAAAACACCTCCTTTAGTCTCCTTGAAAGCTACGCCGTAAGGTATTAGACAGCTCCAGGCAGTCACAAGAACAAAAATGTCTACAAGAGCTTCCAAGCATTACCGGAAGGGTAACTTCTGGTCTAAGGCCAAGAAGTGGAAAAGTGCAAAGTCAAACGAGGTGAGAAAACAAGAGCCAAGGGGAACGAGGGGGAACGTAACAGTGCCACACTTACCCTGGACCTAGGAGAGCCGCGTTCTTCAGAGCGGGGGCTGCAGATACACAAGGCGCAGGTCAGCAAAGTCAAGGTGGAATGAGATCCCCTTCCTCGGTCCCCGCGAGATCCAACTATTTTACGACCCTCCACCTCTTCCCTTCCCAAGACCCAGAGCTCCCTCTGGGGCAGCACCGATCACTCTTCTTCCAGGCCCAAGTCTCTCCGGGTCTCTCTTGGTTGGCCCCTGACCGCTTTGCTCCCACCTCCCCCGCCCGCGACTCTTACACTCGCCTCTTTCTAATCACCCCAATGGCCTGCACCAAGGTCTAGAACCCTCACCCGCTGTGGCGGCGGCAGAAAGCACCACCCGGGACAACATGGTGAGGGAGGGTCCAGGCGGCGGTCGTAGCGTCCCTGTGACCCCGACGAGAGAAGCCGTCAGGGACAGGAGCAAGATGGACGCTCACAAATCTCGCGATAAGAGAATGTCGGGCCCCGCCCCCCTCTCATTAGCTTTCGTTCGAATTCTCGCGAGAACCTGTTGCCGGAGGGAAACAACCTAGTGTGGGAGCAATTCTCGCGAGATGTGGAGTTGCTGTAGCCTCAGGGAAAGGGGCGGAGGCCCCGGCAGAGTTGCCCCACGTGAGATAGCTGCGGAGCTGAGTCTCTGGCCGGCGTCCAGTTTGGGTCTAGGTAGGCGTTGGGGCTGTGGAGATGAGGAAGGAAGCTCCGCTCCCCATGGTGCCGCCGGCGGCCCGAGAATGGAACCTGCCCCCTAATGCGCCCGCTTGTATGGAGCGGCAGTTGGAAGCGGTGCGCTATCGGTCCGGTGAGCTGAGATCCTGGGCCTGGGCGCCCCCTCCTCCGGACTCACCCTCCCAGCCCTTTCCCGCACGCCATCTCAAGCCTTTCCCCACACCGTTGAGTTTAGTCCCCAAGGCCGCCTCGCGTTCCTGAGCTCAATTCTCTAACCAACCCGTGCGCGTTCCTCGGCGCGGTCACCATGGAGACGGGCCCTTCCACCCCGCGCGTACTGACAGCTTCTCGCCCCCACCCCCCACCCCTCTAGATGGGGCGCTCTTGCTTGGAGCTTCCAGCCTGAGTGGCCGCTGCTGGGCTGGCTCCCTCTGGCTTTTCAAGGACCCTTGTTCTGCCCCCAACGAAGGCTTCTGCTCCGCCGGAGTCCAGACGGAGGCCGGAGTGGCCGACCTCACTTGGGTGGGGGACAAAGGTATCCTCGTGGCTTCTGATTCGGGTGAGTCATCTTTCCATCCCTCCTCGAGGACCTAGGGCACCCCGGGGTACAAGTCGGAGTGGGTTGACATCCGATACTTAGAATTTGGGGGAGTCTGAGAGTGTTGACTCCAAACGGGAGCTCTTGTGAATGGGAACTACTTTGCCCAAGGTTCTAAATTACTGGGCGACAGAATTGGATTGGCATGATTTTTCTTTGTGAATCCTGCCCAGCAAGGGTTATAATGTTCACTGGCCTTAGAATGATGCTGAAACCAATCTCTGAGTGTCTGCCCATGTACTTGTCTTAAAAGTCTTCGGTCTGTTTTCATTAGTTTGAGTGTCAGGATTAACAATAAAGGCTTTGGCACTAAGTTGTCAGGCACTTTAAGAAAGGATGAAAGTGGGGTAATTAAATGTTGGGCCTCTGACCGTTGAATTTGAACCCTGCATAGTTAAAACAACTGGGGGGCGGGGCAGTGGGGTGTTCTCTTTTAACCAGACCCTATATAAAACATTCATTTATTCAACAAGTATTTATTAAAACTCTGCAAGACGTTTATTCAAAAGCTTTAGCAGATACTTGTATCTATATAATTGTCAAGGTTTAACCCCTCCATACTGTACTGTGCAGTTGTGGACTTAGCCTTGTCTTCTGGGAGCTGGTTTTCCAGTGTCTTCTCACTGGAAGCAGAATAATGGATTTTGCCAGCCTTTCCCTCTTTCCCTAAAGAGCCTTGGTTGGCGCTGTGAGGTAAGCATTAACCTGTAAGGTTGGTAGTTCAAAACCACCAGCCTTACCTCTGGAGAAAAATGAGGCCGTCAGCTCCCTTAAAGATTCACAGCCTTGGAAACTACACGGGGTTTGCTGTGAGTAGGAGTCGGCTTCATGGCAGAAGGGTTGGTTTGGTCCATGGAACTTGAGTTTTTCCGAAGGATTTCCTCATTGTCTGTTTTAAGGAATATGATAATGCCAAGTGGCTTAACCAAACCCACTGCCTCCGAATCAACTCTTATTCATAGTGACCTTATAGGGCATAGTAAAATGGTCCCTTTGGGTTTCCAAGACTGTAAATCTTTATAGGAACAAACAGCCTCATCTTTCTCCCATGAAGTGACTGGTGGGTTTGAACCACTGACCTTGTAGCTAGCAGCTCAATGCATAAGCCTCCACACCACCCAGGGCTCAGGAGTTAACTAAACCCTCTAATGGCATGGGCTTTACTTCTATAGGAATAATTTATTTACTCAGTAACCATGGATGTGAATGTCTCCCTAGGTCTAACCCAAGTCTATGTTTTCCTCGCCCCCATCTCCAACCAGGTGCTGTTGAATTGTGGGAGCTGGATGACAACGAAACGCTCATTGTCAGCAAGTTCTGCAAGTACGAGCACGACGACATCGTGTCTACAGTCAGTGTCCTGAGCCCCGGCACTCAAGCTGTCAGCGGCAGCAAGGACTTCTGGTACGCCCGCCGTCCCTCCTCTCATCACTCCTCTTTGTAGGCCTCCTTTGCCCATTCTGCCATCTTATTAGCCCTATTAAGTATTGTTTGTTTGTTTTCTTGTAGTGATTTTTATTTATTATTAATAATTTTATTGGGTGTTGTAGTGAGTTTTAAAAAATATACATGTATTTTCCCATAGTTCAATCAACTTCCAAGCGTTCTTTTTCTTCCTTGTCTCCTTGACGTCGTCTCCCTTTTACCCCACCCACCAGCACCACTGTACCCCCACCCCACCTCCGAAATTCTTATTCTACTTGCTGTCCCTATCGGTTCATCAGTCCTGGGTTTCATTTACTGAAAGACAGAAAGACATGACACAACGTCAAGAGGGTGACCCCAATGACATAACACCTCTGAGATAAACCCTAATAAGAACAAACCATAAAAATACAGAAAATGTTGAAAACCAGATCAGGGTCCAGCATGCACCGGAGGGGGGATCAGCTGACATAGTTTTAACCATTCAGGTGGATTTAGCCCTTTGATCTTCTATACTCATCTCTCCAATGCACTGTTTAGTTTTGAGGTCATTCTAAGAACCTGGTGACTGATGGAGCCCTGGTGGTATAGTGGATTAAGCCACAAGGTCAGTGGTTCAAACCTTTGGGAGAAAGATGAGACTGTTGCCATAGAGATTTAATCTTGGCAACTGTCAGGAGCAGTTTAATTCTGTCCTGTAGGGTCGCCATGAGTTGGAATTGACTCAGTGGCCATGGATTCAGAGGGGGTTTTCTTGTTTATTTGGTTACTGATTATGACATGGATGTCCTTGGGGATTTTTCAGGCCATTGCTATGGACCATAGCAGAGATCAGGGAATGAAGAAAAATGGGACATGTTGGTTGAAGGAAGGACCTCTCTCAATAAAGGTTTTTATGTAGGTAGTCTGGCTCAAGGTCAGGCTTTGAATTGTTTCTTCCCAGTACAGCCATGGCTGAGGAAGTAAAGGAACATTGGGTGTGGTGAGTCAGAATGATAACTGGAAGGGGGAAATTATTCTTGTAGCACTGCTAGCAACTTCATTTCCCTCTTGGAAAACTGGGTCGGCAGAGATGTGCAGTGAGACAAGCAGACCTCTTGGCTCTGGTTCTGAACAGAGTCGGAGACAGTGGTGTCCCGCTCAAAGATGGTGGCTGACCTTGCTACTTGGATGTGTTTCACGCTCCAGTTTTGCCAGCAATCCATTCTCACATATCAGGCTCTGGAAAGGGTTCACTACACTTCTTAGTCTCCCACTTCAGGGCTTCCGCTGGTAATTTTTCCAGTTCTGGTTATTCTGAATCACCCAACTTTTTAAAATGCGGGTCTATTCTGGTTTCGGTTGGTCAGCCTGGATGGAGCCAGTTTGAAGTCAAGATTAAGTGTCTGTATCCTTTTGCTTCTTAGCATCAAGGTTTGGGACCTTGCTCAGCAGACAGTACTGAACTCCTACCGAGGTGAGTGAGCGTGCCAGTTGTTCTGACTCTCCCCTTTGGGCTCATGGAGCCTGGCTGGCACGTTGCGGGCAGCAGTTCCATTTTCACTTGTGTAGGTATGGTTTTCCTCTCAAGCTAAAGCCAGACTGCAATTTCTACCGCTTGCCTTTTCGTAATTTCCCCATTTCTGTTGATGGCCTTGCCACCTTGGTCACACAGGCCCAAACTCCCATTTCTCGCCGCCCTGCCAGCCCATCGCTGTCCTGTGTTCACTCCCTGTCAGGCTTCCCCTCGAGTGGATGGTGGCACTGGACTCGCCACTTCAGATCTGTTGCTGTTTGGGTCTCTGGTATTTTGTGGCCTACAGATTTAAAATTCCATTTTTCTTCAGACCTTTTTACTCTCATTTGCCCTTCAAGTACACTGCACTAGCTAAACCCACTCACGGTAAATTTGGGATAGTTGAATGATAAAAGCCCTGAGACATGCGAATCTCGAACTTGAAATAACACTTCTATGCAATTTCTGTTTTCCGTTAAGAACCATCATGCGCGTCTAAGACTCCTTTCTGCTCACCTCCTGGCGGTTGGCTTCCTTTTGTGTCAGTCTTGTGTTTGTGCTGTGCATGAAGTAAGCTTGGTCCTCTTCTGTGCTCATACCATCTGCTCTTTGTCCTGCTCTTTGCCCCTTTTGTCCCTTAGTGCGGAACCCTTGGGTTTTGTACCTCGTGAGTATTGCACCTGGTATGGGGTGGGCTGGGTGAGGGGTCCTCTGTAAAAGGGGGATGGGTGGTGGTGATGGGAGAGATCGGAACAAGGACCTGGCAAGCTGCAGATGGTTTCTTAAGTCATGTGAAGAGGAGAACATCGGAGAAGTTGGCTTCTTGAAGTTTTTAGCATCTAGGAATCCCTGGAAGGTTTTTGTGTATTTGTAGTATATGTATGCCAGTATGAAAACTATTTTCAAATCATTTATAGCATCTACATCCAGGGCACTTCAAAAAGTTTGGGGAAAAAGTCCACTAATTTCATTTTCCATGATTTTTGGAAACTCCTTTAAGCCCTGTTGCTCCCCCCCCCCTTTTTTTTGGTTTTATTCCTTAACTTTTATATGAATCAGATGAATGTTTACAGAACATCATCAGTTTCACATTCAGCCATTTACACACGTTTTGTTTTATCTCGTCCATTATAATCCCTGCAATGTATACTTACTTATTTTCTCTTTCGCCATGTGAGTCTTTTTTTTTAATACTTTTATTGGGGGTTCTTATAGCTCTCAGCCTCGGATTTCTCTCCCCCTCAACCTGTAGGCTTTGTCTTAATAGTCTCTCAGTAAATGTGTTAAATTCCATCATGCAGCCAGGACTGCTTCTCCTACCCTCCCTCCTGCCTCTTGATGGTATCTGATAGGATGACGTGCTGCTTTATGATGCCCCCAGTCCCACCTCTGTCTGATGTCCCTCTCTGCAGCTCATTCTGGGCCAGTCACTTGTGTCGCTGCCTCTCCTCACAAGGACTCCGTGTTTCTGTCATGCAGTGAGGTGAGGTACTCCTTCCCTGCTCCACTTGGTCACCACACCCAAGTTCTCTCCGTGGGCCAAGTAGAGACACCCCCCCCCACCCACCCCCACCCCTACCCCCCGCAGCATGTGAAGCACTCCCTTTTTCTCTCCCCTATTTATTCTTCCAGGACAATAGAATTTTACTCTGGGATACTCGCTGTCCCAAGCCAGCATCACAGATGGGTGAGTCTGGGAACCAGTCGGGGAGTCGTGCTAGGGGCCCACTCGGAGGAGGCTTTCCTTGGCCAGAGTTCAAGGCACAGTTGCCAGACGCCCAGTCACCGAGACAAAAAAAAACTGACCTAATCTTCTTTCTCACTGAGGCGCTGCCAACTCCTTTTTGTGCAGCGGCCACTAAGGCTGGCATGCTTCCTGGGTGGGGGTTCCGTTAGTCCCGGGGTGGGCAGAGGGACCACTTAGCATCTTAAAGGTTGTGCTTGAAATTTGCCTTTGACACATGTCCAGAAAGGGCAGGAGGCTGATGGGTAAATGGAGGTATGGGGTTCCAGGGTGAGGCCATGGTGACCCTCTGAGGTTTGGAGAATTCGAGAGGTGTGCCCAGGACTTAGGAGTCAGTTCATTGGAAAAGCGCCAGTCTTGACTCCAACCCTTGCTTTCCTCTTTACAGGCTGCAATGCCTCTGGCTACCTCCCTACCTCACTGGCTTGGCATCCTCAGCAAAGCGAAGCCTTTGTCTTTGGTAAGGAAGATCATGTGTTAAGTTGCTTGAAGGTGGGGGTGAGAGCTACACCTTTGTGCTCGGGGTTTTGGCAGCAAGTCATCAGCACACTTGGGCACTTAGCAAACGTAGAGGTGGAGTGGTGAGATAGTCCTAAAGTCATTTCGCTGTAGCCTTGGAGAACCC